TACGCCGTAGTGACGCTGAAAGGTCTGATTACAAAACCAATAGAGATACAGAAAAACAGATATACATCGTGTTGGGGGGTTAGCAACTCGCTTGACTTTTAACGGGAAGTACCAAGACTCTGGACTCTTCTCTTTTTATTGTTTCCTACTACAACGCTTCAGGTCTTTTCTTCTCCTACAACTACTTTTTAGCGAGGAGTGCCCACGTATTAAATACAGAAATCGCAGACATGTCTGGGTTAGCTGACCATGGGAGTTTCCATAGTGTATCCGTTGTTTTGCAAAGGGGGAAATTGGGTGGCTCGCTCCGAAGTACTTGGCGAGCACCAAGGAACTAATCAAACGCCAAGGAACCAATCAAACGCCAATGATAGAGCTTCGCAAGAGAATCGCGCGCACAAACAGGATCTTCGCTGTGGGTGAAACTCAGGGTCAGTTTTACCAACCCAAACATGACCACCAATGAAACTAATTATTCTCAACCATAACAAGCGATTAAAATGTCTAGCACTGTAAAGAGGAAATCCGGGAACTGAGCCAAGTTCAGGCATACACTAAAAATTAAAAGATCAAAACTATAAATCTATCAAAACAATACGTAGGCGCAAAAGGCAAGGCTTAACAAAACAAAAGGCTTAACGAGAAACTTCTCAAAATAACAACTTCCAGTTTTATCTCACAGCAACTGTAATTATGTAAGTATCTAAGATCATGCTGAAATTAGTGAACTAATCAAAAATCAATTTAAAAATGATCCTTCTGGCTAGTGTCCTTAACATGTAGCAAGGCATTTCGTAGACTCTACAGCACTAAGCAGATCAGACTGTACTTGACCAAGCAATTGGTCAGTTAGAGGCTAAATCTATCGGAATATCCTCCATTACAACCGAGAGGTACCTGAACGAACCGGTTGTAAGGAGGTATTACTTAAATATGCCTCATTCAGCGCTTTAGAATAAAAATAATTCAGACCAACTTTGTCAAAATACGTCCATTGTTTTCCTAGCATTAGTTTGTGTGGATGTATGAGAGTTTCGATATTCCTGAGATAGAATTCTAACAAAACCAATTCTAATTACTCCACTGATATTTTCGTATCTTTTTGATACATTTAAAAAGCTGCTGATTAAAAGGTCCGAAATCGAACGCGGTGAAAATTATAAGTTGTGTAAAGGCATTTTCAGGCAAGAGAATAACATTGGTTATTTTTTCCTACCGTCTCAAAACTTTCCTTAAGTTTTGCTAACGCCTGTTGTTACACAATTTTTGATGACCAATATATTTGAGCATATTTTGCACCAGATGCAGGCTGCAGCTTGTTCATTTCATGGAAGGACCTAACTCGGATTAGTAAGCGATAAATAGATATAACTATTTGTACATAAAACCTTGAATGCCTAAAAATAACAGTTACAGCACTTCCCAGCTTTCTTTGATGGACTTGGTCGGGAAAAATCTTTAATAATTCCAATTTTTTATGACCAAGTTAACTATAGAAACAGCCAAAATTAAACTGTTCAGTTAAAGTTT